CGTTTGAAAATCATTTACAACTGTTCAAGAATATTTTTACCTAAACTTTCAATTGAAATCAGTTAATTAAGCAACTACTTGAGTAATTTAGCAGTGGCTTGTTTGATTTATTCATCGAATGTTTAAATAATAAAGATATTCTTGAATTATGCAATTATGCAAGTTCAAAGAATGTGACTTATACTGATTGGCTTTTAAATTCTCTATTTATGAATATGTATACTCTGTACAGTTGAGTTCTTTAAATATCTTTATTAAAGTTATAGAATTTAAAAAAATTGCTTGTAATAAAAATAAGTCGTAATTCCATAGTTGCTTTAAAAATATCATAGATTTAATATTTAAATGTTAGTTAAATTATTAAATTTTTCCTATTATTGTTTTTGCTTTGTTAAGTATACTCGAACAAAAATTATTTGCAATTTTCTACTAATAATCGGTTTATATATTAAATCTACAAGTTATCTATTTAATTTTTCATTATAAACCATAATTATTGTGTTTTATTTTCGTTTGTAAAAAAGCTTGTAATAAATTATTTGTCGTTAAATCATTTAGATTATAATTATAATATTATTTATAGTATAATCTAAAATTTAAGTATCTGATATAAATTTAAAGAATAATATATCAAAATAGATCCAAGATCAAAAACGCTTTCGATTAATAATTTTCAATATATATTTTTTAAAACAAAATAAAATTAAAATGGACTCATACGAAAGATTAAAATATTTTTGTTTAATAATTTTTATTACAAGATTTCTAAACATTTCTGAGTAGAAGACGTGTTAATAGATGACACCCAGTGGATCGAGCTTTCATGGCCCTCGAGAAGAATTCCTGGCAACGGCCTGTTCGTTCAAATGTCGTTATTTCTGATGCACAGCGGCTCGTTCAGGGAAATTCGTGGAACTGTTCGATTCTTCGTTAATTCGACCCAACTGGTCGAATTTGTCTTTGTCCCTCGTCACGTGTTGACGTAGCAAGCCGCACGGTATGCATAGAATGTTAGTGTATCTCGAATTCTAGTGTACCCTAAAATTTTTTAGTTTGGACGAGTTCTTCAAAAGATGTGCTATATGTTGGTTTAGGAAAATTTTATGAACAAATTTTTTTTCTTACAGAGAAAAATATTACAAAAATATTATTATACACATATTGTTTCTTAGAAAAATTTTAAGAATAATTTTTATCGTTTAACAATAATTCTCTATTAAATTGTAAACTAGACAATAGATATGTCAAGTAATGACGATCTAGTTGGATTTGAGAATTTTTAATTTTAGATAATCTGAAAATGAAATTTCATTAAATCCGTACGATTATTTTATTTTTACTAATAGCGAATGATTATACAACGAAACAGAGACTTCAATAATCGCAGAATTTGTTCGTGTTTTGTCAGATCCTGGAGCAAGTAAAAAAAAAAAAAAAAATAATCGTCAAATAACTCAAGTTTCCCACGACAGGTGCGAAAAATATGCTAACTTAAGTAAAAGGATACCTGGCTATCCAGGTATCGATATAAGGGTTAACAAAATGGTAATGCTCCCCATACCTTTTATCCCTTTAAATTTAAAACCAGAAAAAATTATTTTGCTTCGACTAAATTCAGAGAGGAAAAAAAAAAAAAAAAAAAACATTCTCAATTAATTCTCAAAACAAATTCAAATTAATTAATATATTCGTTTAAAGCAAAATTCCTTTCTATCGTTAAAAAAATATTCTCGAGTAAATTAATCTAAAACGTGGATTATTGGCGCGCAAGTTCGAATGCAGCAGGTTCGAGGCAGCGTGACATCGCGGTTTAATTCGCGGCAAACGAAAGTGCGAGTCGAACGACAGTGCAAGTTTCCAACGATAGCGAAAGCTCTCCGTCGGCCACAGCTGTAAAGCTATTAGAGAGAGTTTTGCGCCGAGAGAGGTGGTGGAGGAGAGTGCGGTGGAAAACGCAACCCGTGAGATAGCGACATAGCTATCGCTCTCTCTATGTACCGGCCATTATGTGTATCCACCAGCCGTGCAAAAGCTGGTGTGCGCGCGAACGCCACGCGCGCACACGTGCACACACGGAGGATAGGCGCGTTTGCTCATCGCGTGGACGTGTAGCATACTATGTGCACCGTGGACAGAGGGAGAGGGAGAAAGAGAGCGCGTTGACGGGACAGAGAGAGGGTTAAGCGACGGTCGATATCTCACAGAGGACCAACATCGCATCGGTTTTCGACGATGGCTTGGAACCTCTTGCGAGCATCTCGCTCCGTTCGATTCAACGAAAATTTTTTTATTTACCCACTTGTACGCGAATTAAATTATTGTTTCGCTATGTAATAATGAATAAAGAAAGGATTGAGAGTCGAAAGGTTCAATTTATCGATCTATGCGATCAATTCTTTTTTTAATTTACGTGTAATTAAATTGTTAAATGTCAATTGCTCGAATATTGGCGGCAAATTGGGAGGAATTGCGTTTAGAGGATGGTACGTAATGATAAAGTTTCAAATGTTATAAGGATTCTTTAATATAATTAATATTTATACAATAATCATAGCCAATAATTATAGCCATAGATGGGTTAGGCGGTTATAAATAAAATGTGTATAAAATAAGTTGAATACATTCGAATATTAATATCTTTGGCAACATTGTTTCGCATGTTTCAAGGAATTAGATATTTTATATTAAATTATAGAGCAAGATCAATTTCTTTCCAACTGTTTATTTTATTTACCTATTCACAAAATTTTCTTCAAACTCTACGTGCATTTCATTTATAACTTAACCATTTATGATACAATTATGATTACGACCTATGTATTGTATTTTTAATACCATTTACCATTCTCTAGAGAAACAATTTTTTGAAAATGCGACAAAGATCCACTCTCTCAGAAATCATTACTGTTAACTCTCGCGTGATCTTCGCCCAATCCTGAGCGATTAATCATTAGAAAGAGGGCATTGTATCGCCCGCGGGGAAACAAAGAATCGCAGAACGCGAAAAGTTCATAGCCATCGTCAGTTGGTCTAAGCAACTCTGAATGAACCGTCCGGGGACTAGGGCACAACATTCGCGGGTATCAAAGCGAGCGAGTAGGTGTGCAGACACGCCGAACGTAATAGTAACCTTGGCTTAGCGATGGTCACGTTATAGTAACGTCTATGACACGTTCCCACGTAGTCGCGTGTCACGTTCTCGCTTACGATCGCCTCACGTGACCACGGAGAAAGGGGAGGGCTCAATGAGCCTCGTCATCGGGGCTTTTTTATCTCGAAACGCTCAGTTTTTTCCTAAGTGGCTCCGCCACTGTGTTTTCATGGATTTCGACGGTCTGCGAATTCTTCTTTCCTCCATTTCTTCTTTATCGTTTCCTCGTTCTTTCATCGGTCGTAAATAATCGTAATATATATTTTTGTATATCTATATAATAAGATTGCTTGTTTATTCCATTTGCGAAAAATCTTTGTAAAATCGAAACTATTCGTATATATGTGTTCGTATGTATTTAGATTTGTGTTATTCTAATGTAGAAACGTTTATATTTATTTTAATGCGTAAAATAATAAAATTATACGTGCAAATAACATATGTATATAACTAATTATACATTGATAAGACAATTAATAAATGTTAATTCGAAATATGAATTTTATATGATGTTACATCGAAAATACTTGTGCATAATCTTAATTGATATCTTGTTAAAATTCACGAAAACAAACGCAAATGTATATTTGAAATATGATTCAATGAATTTTTCTTTCTTTACAGAACCTTTACATAATTTTCTTGGAAAAATATAAATGTATAATCTCGTACAACGTCTCGTTCCATTTTCTTCACGTCGAATTTTTCGATCGAAAATATCGATCAGAGGAAATCTTCATGATTCAAAAATTTTTACTCTCCTCTCAAGATTCAAGTTGCTACTAAGAAATATACGTTATATTTTTCGAGAGATGTTTAATTATTCGCGCAAAGATTTTTTTAGCGAAATATTATAATAAAATGAATGACAGATGTGATAAAATCGTGTGTGTGCGAATTTTATGTGTGAGATAATATAAATTAAGATCGGTAATTTCAATTACACGGCTGAGAGAAATAATTAAGAAATAATCGTGTTGCATCTTTATGTTTCAGATCGTACAAATCAACCGCCTTCTAACAAGCCACATTAACCTCAAGTGATTTCTATTTTCTTACGAAGCGCGAAAGAAGTAATTAGTGTGTTTATATCGATGTAAAACAAGAGAGAGAGAGAGAGAGAGAGAGCGAGAGCGAGAGAGAGAAGAGAGAGAGAGAGAGAAGAAAAAGAAGAAAATTATTCAAGAGCTTAAGTTCAGAGGAAAACAAAACATTAAGAGCTATAGTATCTAATTAGTGTACAAAGTATATCTGAAACAAAATAAGAAAAAAAAAAAAAAAAAAAAATTAAAAAAGTCCGCCAGTGCCAAATCGAAAGACATAGGGAAAGAGAGTAAAATAGAAGAAGAAAGGTAACACGAGAAGTAAACGAGAAGAAAAATTTAACACGATTGTTGTACGTTTAAGGGCAGGTAAAAAAAAAAAAAGGGGGGGGAGAGAAAAAAGAAGAAAGAAGAAGTTAAAAACCGTAAACCAAAGAATCTACCATTTTTTTTTTTCTACTAATCACTCAGCTAACGATATTACTCACTAACCAGCTAAACGGTGCGGCGATCTCTTCGCGAGCAGATTTAATTAGGAAAAATACAAGAAAGGAGAGAAAAAAAAAAAAGAACCAGAACAACAAGAGCATAATAAAAGTAAAAAAAACTAAAAAATTAAAAAAAATATATAAATAAATAAATAATAAAAAACGAGAAAAAAAAACAAACAAACAAACCGACAAAATTTTCTAAGCTTATAATATAAGAGGTTTATTATACGTGATAAACAAGCTAAAAAAAAAAAAAAAAAAGAAAAGAACAGAAAAGGGGTTGACGTTCTTTTTCGATTTTAAAAAAGGGAGAAAAAAGAATAAAGAAGGAGAGAAGAGGGGAAAAAAGAGGAAGAAGAAGAAACGCACTTGCGAGAGAGCGCGTACGAGTATCTAATTAAGGAAAGAAGAGAGGAGAGTCCCATCCAAAGCGAGAGACAGACGGAGAGAACGCAGGCCGCCCTATATATCCGGAAAAGGGGACTCGCATATAATTACTCCCAGAGAAACCGATCTACTTCAGTTCGTAGCCTAAACCTGTTGAGTACAAACGACAGAAATAGAGTTATAGAGAGAGGTAGAAGAGAGAGAGAGAAGAGAGAACGCGCGCGCGAGAGAGAGAGAGAGAGAAGAGAGAGAGAGAAGAGAGAAGGAAGAGCGAGCGCAAGAGAGAAGTGAGAGATAACGACGAGAGTGAGCGAACAAAATAAAAGAGCTCTAAAGACAAGAGGCGAGAAGATTAAGAAGAAGAAGAAGAAGAAGAAGAAGAAGAAGAGGAAATTCAGAGGAAAAAAGCAGAGTATATACACATTGATATACACACAGACACACATTTGTGATACACACGAATAGCACACGTATACTAGCACGAGATACTACTACTTACACGAAGTTACTACGAAACTACGGACAGATATCAGCGGAAGCACACCGGAAAGATCACGAGGAGGCGGAGCAACAGCAGGAGAAAATTCGGATGTCACTGCGAGGAGTGAGCGAGCCCGGAGCACGGCAGATGTGCCAATAATCCCAACGCAACGAGCCCCGTCGAGTCGTCACGAAAATACGCGAAGATCCGCGAAAGATCCGCGGAAGAGGAGGAGGAAGAAGAAGAAAGATCGGAAGATCGTCCGTCCTTCCTGTACACCACCCGACCGATAGAAGCGGAATAATAACGCGGCCTCCTGCCCGCCAGGGGGTTCACGTGGTCGAGATGACGTGGCGGGGAAGATGAGCGCCGAGGTAACGAAGGAGGTGGTCGCCACCGAGAGGGTAACAACGGGGAGCCCTCCGGCGGCGGTCGCGACCTCGCCGAGCTCGGTCGGGCCGGGTGACCCGGCGCGTCACCTGCCGCCGTTCAGCAGCTTCGCCGGGGACAACGCGATGGACAGCTCGACGACACTGACTACCCTTCACTCGCAGGACGTTGGGTTGGGGCTCACGTCCTCGTGGGACTACTACGAGGGACTGACGGGCCGGTTGATCGACTCGCGGGGCGAGGTGGTGCTCGCGAGCCAGTACAGGCCGTGGGAGTCGAAGAACGCGGCGGTCGGGGGAGGCCCCGCGGCAGCCCCGGCCGAGGGCCTGCCGAGCTTCGCGAGCCAGTTCACGGCGCCTAGCGAGGCAGAGCCCCAATTGACAGCGCTCACGCCACTCTCGCCCGCCTCGATATCGCACTCTCCACCTGTCACGTCGGCGGTCGGCCTGCCCAGCTTCCACACGCTCGGCACGCCGCTGCCCGCGCCCCATCCTCACAGGGGGAGCGTCGGTTACCCGCTGGTCCCTGCCCCGGTCCAGGCAAGGGAGGTGCCCGCCCTTCAGCAGCAACTGCTCGACGAGAGGCACATCCAGTTGCTGGGCTCGAGCCCGGTCCAGGCATTCCCGCCCCCGCCCCCCGGCCACCCCCATCACACCGTGTTGACCGTGGTGAAGCCCGAGTATCCCCAGTTGCATCACGCCAACTTCCAGAACCCGATGTCAACGGTGCTCGACTCGTCGCCCACGTCCAGGCCGGTCGGGATCGACGGGAGGAAGAAGGAGAGGAGAAAAATAAGGGCGGGCTCGATGGAGTCCGAGGACAGCGCCGGGGCCGGGAACGTGGAGAGTTCAGGCCAGGTGGCCGCTGTCTCGTCCACCGCGAACAGGGGGCCCCATCACCTGGGCGGTGGAATGGCCGACGCGGATGGGGACGGCGGGCTGAGCGATAAGCCGGCTAAGAAGAAGCGCAAGAGGTGCGGCGAGTGCATCGGGTGCCAGCGCAAGGACAACTGCGGGGATTGCGCACCCTGCCGGAACGACAAGAGCCATCAGATCTGCAAGATGAGGCGGTGCGAGAAGCTCACCGAGAAGAAGGTAAGTGTGTTCTCTTCGACGGTTGTCTCGTTTCTTCTTCCTGCGATCGAACTATTTTTTTTTCTTTTCTTACCACCACTTTCTCCAATTTTGATGCAATATCTGCATACTGCGAAACGTCATTCCTTACGAAAACACGACAATGATTTTTCCACGCGAACGAATTATCATTTTTCACGTGTTTGCTGAAAGTTTTCTTCGCGAGCGAAAGAGCTTCTTCTTACAAGCTTCTTCGAATAAAATTTTGTTTTAACGATGAGAATTTCCAAGATTCGAACTTAATTATCCACGATTTAACGCGTTGTAACGAAAGAAAGAAAGAAAGAAAAGGTATTAAAGGATCCAACACTTTTATCAAAAACACCTCCTTTCCAAAAAAAAAAGAAAAAGAAAAAATTAAAAGTTGCGAAAAACCGACATCTCGATTCACTTTCGCTGGAAGAGGAATCCTGTTGCGCCACGCGTAACTGGAGCAATTCCGCGAGAACGAGCGGGTCGAAGGGGCGGTTGAAACGGGCGCGAAAATGAAGGTTGGCTGGCACGCGACATCGCGAGGGGTGGTGGTGTTGTCGGCCGGTTGTGCTCCGCTCGTGAAATTCGTGAAAATCCAGGTGCACGCGGCCTGGTTGGGGGAAAGGGGGTGGTGGTGGTATGGGATAAACAGCAGCCGCGCCGGCCGCGTTATAGAACCGTCGCGTATATATAGATAGAGAGCTGAACTTGGCCCCGATTGCCTGAATGTGGCGAGAATCCCAGAGGGAAATACAGAAATACAGATAACCGAGGTGGTTTATTATTGTAGCGACATTGAATAGGGGGTTGGTAGGTTGACTGGCTCGCTGGTTGGTTGCCTCGCTGTTCGGCTGCTCGATTTGCTCTTCGTAGCGAAGGATTTGAGCTGTGTTCAAATAAGATAATTTTCCAATTTTTGCAAGATTCGTTTCACTCTTTATTTTAATTTATCCTATATATATATTTTTTTTTTTTCGACGTCTCGAGAAAGATTTTCAAAATGCATTCGAAAAATAATTCCGTCGAAGACGATCTTTCGAGTTTTCGTATTTGTTGGCGTGTATTGGTATCGAGATGTAATCTTTGTTTTAACAAACAAAGATTAATCAATTTAAAGTGGGGTGTACAAAGGTTAGACATTTTTTTCCGTGTTCTTTTTTTTTTAAATAATGCAAATGATTTACTTCCTTTTATTTATCAGAGGCATCGCGAGCAAGGGTTATCATTAATTATGCATGTGCTATTGTGGTTCAGTTATTGGCGATAGTGAAAAGTTATATGGAAATTGTTGAAGGAAAGCAAGGCTTTCGTGACGTTTTTTTTTTTCTTTTCGAATAAAATAAACTCGTATGTATCATTGACGTTGATATAACAGGGAATTATGTGTCATTCTAACAGCGCCGATTTACCAATGACTTGTCGCAAGTATCCCCCACCCCGCGATTATATTAAATGTATTATTCCTCGACTACTGATCCTGAATAGTAAAGTGAGTAAAATTGCATTTCTCGTCATAATAAGATGGTTTGCAATTGCAATTCGGTCATCGCGATAAACAATTGTTCAATTTTCTCAAACTTCTCCAACTTTTTCATAATATGATAAAAACTTTATCCCACGAATTTCCAATTTCGACGATAAACAAGCATTGAATCGAGTATTTCGAGTTTTCTTGACATTTTTAACCAACCAACTTAAAAAAAATAATAATAACGACTGCTTTCAATCGTTTCAACTTTTTGATAAAACTCACGTGTCACTGATTCCACGAACTTTATCAAAATTACTGGGAAAAAGTGAAAAAAAAAAAAAAAAAAAAAATCAATCCTTCAATCATCTTACGCAATTAACTTTTTGAACTGAACGATAAAACGCGTGGAATCATCGATTCCACGAACTTATCAAAATTATTAAAAAACGAAAAAAAAAAAAATAAATCATTTTACTTTCGACCAACTACCTCGAACCGTTCGATAAAAACCCGATCGATATCGTCGATTCCACGAATCTTATCAAAATCTCATTAAAAAAAAAAAATAAAAATAATAAAAATAAATCCTTTCGATCATTTTACATTCGACGATCAACTTTTCGCGATCGATTTCTCGTCAAAATCTCGTTAAAAACGAAAAAAAAAAAAAAAGGAAAAAATAACGATAACAAAAAATAACAACAACAACAACAACAACAAATCCTTTCAATCATCTTGTTTTGACGCAATTAAGCCATCGGGACCGAGCTCGTTTCGAAAACTCGAATGCACCGGGGTCATTGTACCCCGACGCGAGTCAATTTAATGGCAAAGTCGTGTGCAGAGCGACGCGGTGTGCAACAAACAGCCGCGCGGCGTCGCCGTCTCGTAAGCAGCTCCGCTTATCGTAGGGCAAGTTCAAGGCTCGTCGCGGGTCATAATAATCGTGTATCGAACTCCGCTTCGTTCAAGAAACAAACGTGTTGTTTGCTGCCGATACGGCCTAACACTTCTCTCCTTCTTTCTCGCTCCTCCCCCTCCCCCTCCTCTCGTTCCTCCCGTCGCGATAAACGTACATGCCTAACAATTAAAACGAATCGATTCGTTCCCTCCCCCTCCCCCACATACCGAACACTTACCATTTCAATCATCGAAGAAAATCGAGAAGTTTCCGAGTATTTTTCCCAGTTTTTCTAGTTTCTCCATTCTTCCGTTTTAGAGATTGAAAAAACGAATCTTTTGTTCAACAAGTAGAGAAAAATGTTGTGTTTTCAATTTTTAAAGCAGCGTGTTGATTAAAAATGGAGGAAAAGTTAATAACGTATCTTAATATCGAATTCATAATATCTGGAATAGATGGAACTTGGGTCGAATAATATGGTTTTTATACGTAATAATTTGCTTTCCTCCTGTCAACAAGATCCTACGGATTGTCGAATCCGTAGTTTGATAGGGAATTGAACGAGTTTATGATATTGATAAGAGGAACGTTGGTTTATCCGCCACAAATCTCCAAGAGCTGTAGGCGTATAAAACGTGAGATATTAGCACTTACCAATCGTTTAGCTGCGTCTATCATTTTTCATTGCATCGTTTATAGTGTCATAAATAACGTTTCATTCGCACGTTTACATTTAAACCAATTTTGCTGCATCGCATTATTCATTGGTCGAGCACGAAATCAACTTTATTTTCAATAATCTTATGATCGTCGTAATGTGAATTTCCACGATTTCTCTAAGGAACGTGTAGATATATAGAAACGTTCGAGTATAATTTTTTTTTTTTTTAATTAAAATACACATTTTCCAGCAAAAAGTGATGCAGGAATGTTTATTTTGTTGAATCAAAAGAATATTAAATTCAATTGTTTTTATCTCATTCGTTATTACGTTTCTTAATTTATTCGTTTAAAATTTTAAAATTTTTATTTCGAAATAGATCAAATCTCATATATATATATATATTGATTTTTTTCTGGAAAAAGTGGCAAAAAACATTTCATCAAGAAAACTGAAGAGAAAACTTATTTCTTTCAAAGATCGAAAGAATTGTATAAGAGGAACGTTACGTTAACGTGCACGATGCGTTATTACATGTTACAATTATTTCGAATATGATTCGTAAATTAACGAACATCGAAAACAATTTTACGTTCGAGAGGCGAAGATTTTCACGAGTCCGTCGACTCGTCCGTCGCGGCTTCTTGTCTTTATCGTGCCACTTTCCGAGAGCTGACCTTAAGTGAGTCACTGACAGCTATTATCGTGACTTTCACGGACAGCCGTGCGTAGGCAGAGCGCATCTCGTGATGAGCCGCGATTAAACGAGAAAATTGTTGTTCCGCTCCGTTGATAGCCTGTCGAGTGCAAATAATATGCGATTCTCGATGTCGATCGCTCGCTATTCGATCACCCTGATGCGATCCTCGCCACCGATTTTATGCCCAACTCGTCCACATTTTACGACTCGCTGGAACGCGAGACGTCGAACGTTTCATAATCGCCGCAGGGAGTATTACTAATTGGAATATTTCGACGAGGGAAGCTTGGAAAAAATTTAGAAATTATGCAACTATTTTTATACGGGTCTGATATATTTTTAAATTGTTCTCTTGTTCGGAATTCAGTTTTTTTTTTTTTTTACTATTCTTTATTCGTGAATATATAAAAACAACAGGAGGAAAATTGCGTGAAATCGAAAATTGTAAAAATTATGCAATAAATAACGTGAATAATTATAATGCAAAATATATTTTGTTGTTTTCGTTGTTTAAGTGAGAGATAAAAATATTATCGTTACACGCAACAAATTTTTATTTTGAACGAATCTGAAGAAATGTGTGAAGGAGGTAAAAAATTTTTTTTTTAATTATATTTTTATTATTTAATTTGTCATAAATCGCCGGATAATGCATTATCGTATTTGTCACAAGTCATAAATGCGTGGAATGGAAAATTTTATCGTTTGTTTAAACGTATATTATGGCTGGATCGCATTAATGACATCACCAAATCGATGTCATTTCGATGATTAAAAGTTATAAAGATTTTCGTATAATCGACTTCGAAATTCATCATCGCGAAAATGACTAGTTTCGGTATCCGTGTTTTAATATACATTTTCCGTATGATGGAAAATTTTATTATTCCTTTAAACACACATATTTCGCGATCGTTTTTCCGTTAATGATATCGTCAGATCGATGCCACTTTTCAAGATTCATGATCGATTGTTAAAAAACACAAGAAAAAAAACTTTGCCTCAATTTTTTCACAAACAACTAAAATTGAAAAAAGAATTCGAATATATTAGAAAATAACCTCTTTGAAATTTTAATACTTCGAACAACCTTTCTCAATCTCTTTATTATTCTTTATCTATTCCACTCGCCCTAAACCAATATACCCTCCTCCACCAATCAAAAACGACAGTTTAATTAACACTTGACCAGAACAATTCCCACATTTTACGTTCTCAAAAATTCAAATTTCTTCCAAATTTCTCTCCTCCACCA